AAGTATTCAATTCCTTCCTTATGATTTCAGTTGTAGAAATCCCATTGCTTTTGTAACAGTCGTATATTGTTTTTTTCAATGATTTTATTAGATGAACATCTAAAGGTTTCGGAAATCCTATATCACGTCGCGTCTTACGTTAGGTTTGTTTTTGACTATTTTACGTACAGTTGAGAACGGAATTTCGGTCTTATCAGATGTTGCTTGTAATAGTTTATTTCCCTCGAAACCAAACTTGAGATGTAGATTCTTATATACATTGAAACATTCTCTCTGTGTTTCAATATTCAAATGCATCCGAATCTCATTCACTAGTATCTCTTTTTCGCATTGTTCTCCATCGCTATTGAAATTACTACACTGGAAAAAGTCTGCGTTGTTATCACACTCGTTATTACTATTAGTACTTGTCCAAGGAAGACACATTTTAAACAGATAACAAAAATTTTTATTAATTATAACTGCACCGATATCGAATTTCAACATTCAAATCGCGATTAGTCAGTTCCTGAACTGAACACGACGGCGATAACCATCCCCGCATTCCCCGATTTCTATTCGTCACCGTAACATAACTTCAAATTTAATTTTATGACTCTTCAGCCAATCATAAAACTCAATCTACAGTCCACGTGGACTAGTTCGCTGCCGATTCATTTCTATGTATTGGGTTTTTTGGCCTTTGAGAGTGCGGACAAATTTAGGAGTGCATAGTATGGTTTACTTCGACTATACTCAGTGTGTCTATTTTTTTTTCGGGTTTGAAGGTCGTCGATTTTTGGATTTTTTTCTTGACGTTTTGTCTGGGCGAGTGGCTGGCTTCTTAAAAGGGTTATACATACAGGGAAAGTGACACTGAAAACCTCGGTCGCGAAAGCATTCACCATTCAACCTGATTCTAATTGATTTCGTCTAATTCACAACAGACAGTTGCAAGGATAATTAATCTAATGTATATAAATGAATAATTTCATATTAGTATTAGAAAGAGCAAAATCCGGTCTATTAGGCGTTGGTTGAAAGGCCTAGTGGTACCAAACGTTTTGTCTGCTCCTGCGACAGTCACAAGGCCATAGCAAGGAATTCATTTTGGGGGCGCATAATATTGGGGCCACTATAAAAATATATTATCTAGTTGGAGAAAAACTCAATCATGATCGTTTTAGTTCATCTTCAGTAAAAATGATTTTTTGTAATTAGTTCTCAGCCACGACACACACCTTCTTCCTTGCAGTCAACGCGCATACCGCTAATGATGTCTGCTGTAGTCACAGACGAAACGTTTGATACTTCATGTTCAGGTAGTAGAAGGGTATTCTTTGCTGACCAGTTAATTTCTATACGGAATCTTCTGAAGATCCCCTGAATGGGATTTTCGTAAAATGAGATGTCATCGCCTTCACTCACCCAGGTTTGTTCTTCAAGGACAACTTTTCTGGAAGCATTACACCAACCAAGTGACTTGGTCGAGGTGGCGCTCAACTCTAGTTGTGCTTCTCGATCGTTCTAGGTATTGCGTTGCTTCGGAAATATTCCTGTCGGCTTTCGAAGACTTCTATTGGGATATATAAGCACTATGAATAGGCAGAGGAGGCGAGTCTAGTTGAAAGTGCGGTACAGAGTGAGGTATTGAGGTTATAGATATTTGAATATCAGTCTAAAGTTCAGTTGGAGTTTGTGTATGGTATTAGCAGTGTAGTGATGAAATGAAGTTGAGTTGAATTATATTATACAGTGTGGTTGATTATTGTCGAACCCACGGTAACAATACCATCACCAGTTCAACATAGAGCGGAAAAGCTTTTTATTGTTTATATTCACGCCTGAGAGAAGATTTGGTAATTTATTCATCATTGGATAGAACTGGCCGATACTTGATGAAAATCCATATTAAAAAACTAATCAATACAGTTTATTGTATGATTTTCAAAGTATTGATTAGTTTTTTAATTAATTTATCATTTTATATCATAACAGGTGATATTTGATGAATTAACAGTAATCTCAGAACAATGACACCTAGTTACAATAAAGCAACATGTTGTAATCAAGTCCTGTGTATACCAATCTAGTGTTGCTAATGTATTTCAGCGACACACCGCATCTTCATATATCAAGTGTTTCAGAGAGTGCGTTGGCTCATTAGAGACAATGTAATTTGAAAACGACCTTGTCTAGGCATAATGTGCATTAATCTGAAAAGTACGCCCGTCTGCATCGGGACTTGAAATGTTCAACATGAAAGTAAATTCATAATACTCGTGATTCACTTAAATATTTACATTACGTTAGGTTAGGTTAGGTCTAAAGTGGGTGTGTCTATTTGACCCTCCACGGCATTCTGCAAGGGTTTATTGTGGCTCACACCTATTCACACTCGACCAAATAAACGAAGCCGATTAGTTTGTATGGTGGGTGGTCTTTCAGGTCAGATGGTAAGAGTACGACTCTGCCGAACTCTAAAAACCTGACTCGGTTCTCAGCGGGGCAGGTACAATGTATGTGCTCTGCTGTTTCATTATTTTCCAAATAGAGGCGACACACACTGTCTTCCGTCAGTTCAAATTTCTGCATATGATGATTCAAGTGACAGTGACCTGTAAGAAGGCCTGTTAGAATCGTAGTTCATCCCTACTGTAGTCCAACTACTGTTTGGTATCAAGCTTCAAAGGATGAATAAAGGCCTTGAAATGAGCCAATCCTGGAAGAATCTGCCAGAAGTCCATAAATCTTCTTGCCATCCAGGTGTTCAATCTTAGTTTGGCAAAGCCTAAAGTGATGCCAATAACAGGTTCTGGTCCGATAAAGCTGCTTGCCGTACCCTTCTCTGCAAGGGAGTCAACAGCCTCATTGCCTTTCAGGCCAGTATGGCGTGGAATCCTGATCAGAGACAATCTGTTAAGTTTTCCTATCAGGGAGACTCGTTTTTGGCAATTTGCTACTAATTTAGCTCTGTAGGAGCCAAGAGCTTCCAACGCCGCTTGACTATCCGAGAATATTTTTATTGGCTTGTGTATGAGGTTGGATTCTTCCAATCTCTCCGCACACAATTCAATAGCGTAAATTTCTGCTTGAAATACAGTCGCATAGGTTCCTAGTCAGGTTGATGTTTCTGTCCTAGATCTGCGACTGAAAACACCTGCACCAGAATCGGAAGGTGTTTTCAATTCATCTGTGAACCAACAACTATCTGCTCTGGATATTTCCTTATTCCAGAGGATCCAGTCTTCTCTACTCGGGAACGGTACTTTATAAGTAGTTTGTAGTTAACAGTTGGAGGCATAAAGTCAGAGGTCATTTCCAGGATGCTGTGACTTCCAGTTTCAACAACTGTTATACTCTGCATTACATCGATTTGTGCAATTAGCAATATGCACAAGTCTATATGCAGTCCATATAGCCTCTCTCTTCAGAAAAATGTGGAGAGGAGGTAGATCTAGAAGGATATCCATTGCCGCTGATGGCGAGGGACTGATGGTACCACTGATGGCCAGACAAGCCTGTGTCTGTAAGCCAGAGAGCTTTGCCTGGGCCGTTTTCTGTAAAGCCTTTGGTCGCCAAGCAATTGCACCATACGTGATCATTGGTCTGACAATCATCACATAAATCCAATGGATTTGTTTGGGACCTAAACCCCAAGTTTTACCACAAATCCTTCGACATGTCAATAGAAACAGTCTGGCTTTGTGTAAAACTTTTTCCAAGTGAGCGTTCCAGGTGAGTTTTTTATCAAGGACAATGCCAAGATATGTCACCTTCGTTCCAAATGGAATGACCTCTCCATTGAGGGAAAGTGGCGTTAGATCGTCCAATTTTCTCCTTCTGGTGAAGGGGATTATCACAGTTTTGCTGGGGTTGATAGACATCAGCTCTCTCAGGCACCAACTGTGAACAACGTCCATTATGCTTTGAAGGATATCACAAGCTATCCTTCCCGACGTGAACCTTGCCAAGATGACAAGGTCATCTACATAAGCATGCAGATCTACTTTTCTTCAGTCGAGAGCATCAAGCAGACTACCCATCAGGAGCGACCACAGAAGAAGAGATAGTACCCCACCTTGAGAGCAGCCTCTGGTGACCCTGAACCTGATGGCCTCGCCTTGAAGAGTCGTAGTTGCAGTTCTGTTCACCAGCATGGTATAGATCCAGCCAGTTATGGTCGATTATATACCTTTCCTAATCAGAGACGATCCTATATGTTTAGGTAGTGCATTGTCAAATGCACCTTCATTATCGAGGAATGCAGCGACCGAAATCTTATTATTATCAAGGGATTGGGAGATTTTCTCTACAAGGTTATTTGATGCTAAATCTGTCGATTTGCCGGTTTGATAAGCGTACTGGTGGTTATTCAGGGGGGACGCATATAATGCCACCCTCCTGATGTGTCCCTCCAGTATCCTCTCAAGTCCTCTCAAGTCCAATGTAGGATGTGGGTCTTTCCGACCCACTTTGCTACCAACCAACTGGGTGGTATATAGTTCCACGCCAGTCTAGTTCTATACAATTTTATGAATAACTTAACTATTTTGAAGTCGAGAATTACACCTAAGTATAGAATATGCTTGTATTGTGCATATTCTCTCAATTTGACTGAATCCTTAAGAATATAGAAAACAAAACAAAATATATTTTGAGCATATCTAATCACAATATTCCATTCACAACCATACATGTCATCCAGTTAAGGTATAATTAATAAATGATAACCATTAGTCTTGCTTTTTAATAGTGAATCAACTGCAAGAACATATCATTATATAAGTTTCTTTTCAATTAAAGTAAACTGAAAAATGGTTTCCTTTTCTCTCTGTTGTAAATATTATTGCACAACTTTTTCAATAAAATCTAATTTTCCTTCTTATGAAATCCAAACAATCAATCAAAGAAAAGCTAACAAGATTTCGTAATAAATAAGATTTAATTAACACCACTGTATTTTTCCCGAAAACCCAAACCTCAAATGTAGAGATTAAAGTAATATTTTGGTAACTCACCCCAATGACCTTCTGTGAACAGTATGTATACAATAAGCAGAGAAGACAGAAAACTCATTTTTCGTGGAGCTTCCAATTTTCATAACACGTTCAATATCATATGTCCAATTTCCCGCTATTCTCCAAGCTCGAGACTCTGCGGCAACCGTAAACTGTCGTATTCACGTAAGATTTCCTCCTAGTTCCTACAGGAAAGATGACACTGTTGATTCACCTGGAACAAAACATGTTTTGAGGCAGTTTTCTCAATCATTTCGGCAAGATAATGAATTTCAAGAACTGAATGAAAACAATAATTTTATACTTGTGTTGGAAACAGTCTCGGATTATTACCAATTCACATCCTAGGCCAATTCCTACGGATCGTTTTAAAATACAGTTCAATAATCACACGATGAACAGCGGCTGTTCAGCAAACAATGACTGATGCAAACTTCCATATTCTTTCATTAACGCTTCATATCTTCAAATTTAAATCAAACAAAGTGTTTGTGAGATATTATCGAGTTTTTTATTCGTTTGGAATACATATTTGAAGTTATCATGTGTGGAATATAAAATAGTTCAAATTTCCGCCACGGCTTCTCTAGGTAGAGCGCATCCGAAACGTCCAATTTTCCATCATCAGTAAAGGGCACAAAGAAGATTGGGGGGCGTTGAAGTGGTTTAGGGGGGCGATGGCTAATTTAAAAATGTTTTTTTGCTTTTAACACGAACTTTACCGTTCCTTTACAGTTAACACGAGTTTCCCCGTGTAACGCCATCTAGGAGACTAGACAATAACTATTTTCTGTCCGATAGTTGTCAAACTGTACAATAGATGGCGGTAAGCTTCAATGCGAAGCGAAAAGTTTCTAGTCTACATTCTCGAAAGTAGTAGGCCCGCCCGCTTTCCATCACACTGGCGCATAAACCAGGCTCTAGTTGACCGATGACATGGGTTATGTTGGCTTCGAGCACCGCTGTGGTTTGTGGATTATTAGCATACACCTGCAGTATAAGAAAGCCCCACAAGAAAATGTATAACGGGGTCAAGTCGCAAGATCTCGGTAACCAGTTCACATCACCTCCAGGTGAGATGACCATGCCCTCAAACTGCTCGTACAGAATATTCAATATGGCATGTTCAATATACTCCTAGTTTAGTCTTTCTGAAAGTGTGCGATAACGCCCCCTTGTGGGCGCTGGAAGCCTATAGGGGGCAGTAAAGGGCACAAAGAAGATTGGGGGGCGTTGAAGTGGTTTAGGGGGCGATGGCTCATTTAAAAATGTTTTTTTGCTTTTAATATGAACTTTACCGTTCCTTTACAGTTAACACGAGTTTCCCCGTGTAACGCCATCTAGGAGACTAGACAATAACTATTTTCTGTCCGATAGTTGTCAAACTGTACAATAGATGGCGGTAAGCTTCAATGCGAAGCGAAAAGTTTCAAGTCTACATTCTCGAAAGTAGTAGGCCCGCCCGCTGCCTTATATAAAAGCGTGCGCGCCATCCAGCCAGTAATGTCATTCGACGATATTACGAAAATAAGTGAATTTAGTTAGCGACTAGCTTGGTAAACTGCTGTACGTGCGGTGGTGATTACTGTGAGTGGTGTCATCAGCAAGTTTTTGATACTCGATTCTTTACTTCGGCATTTTTGAAGACAAAATTATGTCGAAAACAAAAAAGAAGAAACGGCAGTATAGCGAGGAATATTTAAAATATGGATTTATTGAAAATCCCACAAATCCATCTTTGCCTGTGTGCCTTCTTTGTCAAAAAACATTTTCGAATGAAGCCTCAAGGCTACAAGATCATTTGAATAAATTGCAATCAGATGAAAAAGACAAAGGTGTGACTTGTTTTCAAGAAAAGCAACATTCAGCTCAGCCAACTGTATCAAAACTTTTTTCAGCAGTTTCTAAGCAAGACGACGACGGACTCCGAGCTTCCTACATCTCCCTGCTAATTGCTCGATCAGGTAAACCTCACACTATTGGAGGGGATTTAATTTTACCGGCAATAAAAGAAGTAATAACTAATGTACTCCATAAGTCAGCGGCAGATATTATCCGAAAAATTCCTTCGAGCAATAGTTCCATGCAAAGACGAATTAATGAAATGGCTGAAAACATTGAAGAGTCATTGTGCAATCATCTGAAGACTTCTAAATTCTCAATTCAGTCAGATGAGTCCACTTCACCAATCAATGAAGCATAGTTGTTGTCATATGTGAGGTTATTAAAAATGAGAAAACATATCAAGAACTACCATGTGCCAGAAATTTAGAGACGGATACAAAAGGAGAAACCATAAATAATACAAAGAAAAAATTGTGTGATGAGAAAGAAATTCCACTGAAGAATATTATATCAGCTGCTACAGATGGCGCTCCGGCTATGATAGGATGTCGTGATGGGCTGAAGTCGGAAACTGAGGGGTTCATCATGGCTTGCCAGCATGGTATATTCAACAACTTAGTCTACCGCAGTCGCGTGATGGGTATAGAGGTTCCAGACGCAAGGTGCAGGGCCTGCCGCGAGGCCTATGAGACCCTCATGCACTTGCTATCAGCATGTCCAGGATATGCGGTCCCGGCCTATATCCATCGACATAACGCGGCCCTTATAGACACGAGACACCGGTGTTGCCCTACGCTCCGGATGATATTGAATCCGTTGTGGGGAATGACAAGTGCCGAATTTATTGGAACTATTCGTTCCCCACCCTCAGGCTCATACAGGCTGATAATGTAGCCTGATGTAGTTCTTCTCGACCACCAGAGCAAGACGATATTTGTCCTGGAGTTTTCAGCCCTTGCGAGACTAATATCGTCCAAACTTCGAACTCCGCAGACTCTATCCAGACCACTCTGTCAAGATGGTTGTTCCCATTATTGGAGTCCTTGGTGGAATGATGTCCTCTCTACTCTCGAATCTTAAAATCATACCGTCTTGCCGCACTAAGGCAGAAATCTTAGTCGCACAGATGCAAAAGGCTGTCATTTTTTGCTCACTGCGTTTGCTCAAGACATATGCTTCTCAGACCCAATGATCACCTACCCCACGGTGTGGGGAGTGGTCATAGGTCGATAATGCTGGTGCGCCCTCCCAAATGTATCGGGACTTCGGGGGATAGGGCCTGACCAGCGCACACTACGATGAAAAAAGAAATAAGTGTAATCACCAAAAAAATTTGACTACATAATCAACACTAGAATTAATTTATTAAGATGTAAATAAACATGGAATTCCCACTAAAACTAAAGTTGCGCGTGGGATTTGCACAATTAAATTTACAATTTTTTTTTGATATTTTCAATATACAATGGTTTGAATTGGTCTCACTTTGTTAATCTCTATATTGATTCTTAACATTTTGACACTTGTTTTAGATATGAATACGATGAAGTTAACAATACACAAAAACATTAAACAAACGAATTGCGAATTATTAGAATTAACAAACTATATTGATCCATATAAAAAATTTAATAACATAAGATTCAGAATGTCAGTTAGTCAATGAGAGAGCGAACCAGATCCCTATTCAAGTTAAGAACGTAGTTTCTGATTTTTTTTTCAACATTTGACAATAATGTATATTGATTATATTAATTTTTTGTTCAGTGGGCAGCAAATTGAAGATTTTTGAATGGCGACTTCTGAAATTATGTGGCGATGAAACATGTTTTCAGTTCAAATAAAATTATCATCACCAACAATTTGAAATGACAATTGAGTCATCGTTGTCATGGATTCTGAGTAACATTTTTTTATGAAACATTGTGAGGAAGCATACGTCGATTTTTATCAGTACGGCACAAAGATACTCGTTTGTTGATGATGTATTAGCTTTCTGTGACCATGATCCAGATGGCATCAACTCGTTCTTAAATAATTTGAATTAAAAAAAATCCACGATACGTTGGAAATGGAAGTTCATAATCAACATACTTCATTCGATGCGATGACCTTGATACGACTGTTATCGGAAGTAATACCGAAAAGACCTCAAAATTTTAAAGCCGAGTGCTATTCTTGAAAATTATTTCTCGAAATTATCCTCAAATGAATGCATTGATATGAGAAAAATCATCAATTCTCAAACTGAATCAATTTTTCACACGAGAAATTCCAACAAGAACTTTTGTTTGAGAATACAATTATTGAAGACAATATTCAGATATATGAGCAAAGTATACGAATGTCTAAACTGGTAGTAGGTATACAAAGAAAGGAATTCATTGTTGAAACATAGAATAGAATAGAATAGAATAGAATAGAATAGAATAAAATGTATTTTGATTCATTTTTATGAATTTCAATCAATGTTTCATTTACAAAAGCTGTAGGAAGCGGCATAATTTTGAGATGAATAAAAAGTGGGCGACAATGATCTTTAAAGTTGGCATTAGATATTAGACGTATAACTCTTTTTTGCAATATAAATTTTTTTTTGGAAAGACAAGAATCCCCCCACAACACTATGCTATGGAAGAGTCCGAAGTACGAAGATTTGACCGCTCTGATACCGGCGAAATCCTTCAGTCTACGAATCATAAATATTAAATATTGCACTTGATAATTTCTTGGCCAGTTTGTCAACATGACATGACCAGTTCAATCTGTCGTCTATATGAACCCCCAGTAGCTTAACACTTTTACCCGAGGTTAAATGCATATTTGTGGAAATGATAAGATTTTGATTTTTAGCCTCATTAGGGAGAAGTCTATTTGAAACAAACCAGTTACTTGCAGACTTCATGGTGACGTTGGCAGAAACACTCAAATCATTAACACTACCGTGACAGTCCACCAAAATGGTATCATCCGCAAAAAGAAAACATTTTTTAGGAAGTATGTGGTAGTATAGATCATTTATATATAGTATAAACAAGATTGGTCCCAGTACAGAACCCTGGAACACATCATATTTGACAGATTTCACATTCGATTCAATCCCATGTAATGATACACACATATAGTACCTTAACCTAAGACCGCAGAGCCAGTCCTAGTCAGCCTGGAATCTAAAGTCTTGGGGTCATTTCAGGCACGGATATGATCTTTAATAAACATTTCTCTGAACTATTATGAAATGCCTTTTGCAGTTTGAAGTTGATCTATACCAATAGAAATATACTAACCAAAAAGAGCAAAATGACCTCATGCGAGTCTCTAGTCTTTTCAAAACACTAACAAAACGCTAACAAATGCATAAGCCTTATA